TCATAGTTGAAGACACCACCATTTTTATTTAAAACTAAACCATCAGATAAAAAAATCTGGCTTTTTTTCAATATAAATTGTTTTTCATGTTTTGTATTTAAAATTTATTTTTTTGATCCAACTAATTATTCTTACTTAATAATAATCAAAAAATATTTCTCCAAAAAATATAACTTTTTTTTGACTTTGTTTTGTTTAATGTTGTCTAAATAATGTGATATTCTGTAAAAGATAATTTTTTATTTAAATGCGAACGTAAAAAACTTTGAGTAAAACTATATTAAATAGCTTTTTAGAATGATTATGAACATGTAGAAGTTGATCTGTTGATCATATGATTCAATGGTCTAAACGACGGGTAAGTGATAAATTGCTTGCATGTTCGAATCTAACCTTCATCTTTACACATTTTCATTTAGACTAGTCTGAACTCGTCCACTACACAAGGCTACAACTTGCCTTATGTGCGTCGCTGACGACCTTACTTTTCAATTTTAAACCCATTTAGGACGGGCGTCACTATTACCCCTTCTAACTAGCCTTTTTCTCAAAAAGTTCTCCTACAGGACTAGTCCCAGACGAGTCTTTTTAGTGTAACAGATTAGACTTGTCAGAGCCAATGACGCCCCTCAGTTACATAGTCTGGAAGGGCACTATAGACAACAACTGTTTCCAGACTAGTCATGTTACAGTCGGATTTGAGAAAAAGACTATACCTAACGTCCCGCCAGTACTAGATATGAGACTAGTCTTTTTACCCGTCCTTTGCTCGCCTGGGCTAAGATTATTTATTTATTTATTTATTTATCTATATCATATTAATAAAATAAAACAAAACATACATCAATTGAACAATAAATCCATATAGCAGGATTAAAAAATATATGAACAAATAATTGTTTTAATAATAATGGACTATTTTTGCTTTCAATTTCAACAAAAAATGTTATTGATGATATAAGAGAATTAAGTACATCCATATTAATATGTTGTTTTGATGCCTAAAAATAAAAATCTAGTAATCATGATGTTCACTCTAAAAAAGAATTCATCAAATTTCTTGAACACTGAATCTTGTATTAGTCAAGTTTATATAATTACATCATTCAACAACAAAAAAACTTTTACTTCGGAATATAATTGCTGTAATTTTACTTTAGTTCTTCAATGAATATCATAGTAACAGAAAAACTAATTTTCGAATTTCAACTTGAAATTATGCATAGACACAGGTCTTAATGGGAATAGTTTTTTGTGTGATTTTAAATACATACTTTTTCAAGATGATATCCAATAGCGAGAAAACCTTTTGATATTGTATTGTATATGATCATTCAATTAATTCACATAAAGTTGATATTAATATTGAACAAACATTATAATTAATTGAATCATCTATTTGTTGATGATCTAATTGTGCATCTTTTACGAGATCAGATTTGACAAATCATATGCAGTAAGCAATACAACTTTTGGAAGGTCTATCTAATGGAATGAATAAATACTTGAAATTAGACATTTGAAAGTATTCTCTTCGAATACTACGAATATGCAGGCATTTGATATTCATTGGCATGAATAGTTTTATTGAACAATTGGTAAATACTATAATAGTTTATCTTTGATTCTGACAGATTTCGGAGATTCAGGATTTCTGGTTTAGGAAGCATCAAAGCGTAGTCTGCACAAAACTCAAGCCTATCTAATAATTATTGCAATTCATTAAAATTTATCGTCATCTTAACAGAGCAACTATCTACTTTTCAACTGCCCTTTTTAGAATTCGTGTTTGATGAATACTACACATCTGAAAAATAATACGACAATTTTTCAGCAAAATTATTTCACTCAACATTCGTCGACTTCGTATTGGATAACTATGTGGCTTATCCAAGAGAAAGTCCTTTAATTTCAACTTCACAATTTGATTCGAAGGTAAAAATGGTAAGGAAATCTACAGTTACATATAATAAATATTCTTTCAATTCTTTACTTGTAGTCGTAGATTAAATACTGGGTTTTTAAACTGGTTTACTAACGATCTTCGAAAGTTCTTTTGTTGTCTATCTAAATGAACAAATAAGATCAAATGGTGTGCAGTAGAAATGTCGAAAGGAAAAATGTCGAAAGAAAAAAAAATAGGGTAAAAATGTCGAAAGAAAAATGTCGAAAAATGAATTCTAACACAAAAAGATGTAAAAATGAAAAATAAAAGAAGCAACCATGTCTCCCATAAATGAGAACTCTAAATTCGAACAATGCATGTTTTCTTTTCTTATAATTCTACTAGTCGAGATTTTTCACCACTGGTAGTAAAGATGACTAATAAGTGATAGAGATTAAATAAACAACTATATACGAAGTAAATAAATAACTAAAGTGATAATAGTATGGCAACAAATACTGTATTTTCAAATGACNGAATTTCGTCTTACACATTATCAAAGAAAAAGACGTACCCGCTCCTCCTCTTTCGATTGGTGAAAACCGCAGGTAGCTAGGTATTGCGGTTGTCGAGTTATTGAGCTTACACTCACCCCTCTTTTATTCTGGCGCGGACATTAGTGATAGTATATACATATTTTATCGTGTATGGGTATATTCATGATTAGGATCGGTTTACTAGCGGAACCAGAATTTTTCAGTATGCTGAAAGTCAGCTTTAGAGCATAGAATTCACGTGAAAGTTGATGCTAATTGATATTGGCTCCAAATGACAATTTTCTATCGAAAGATTTTTGTGGTTGAAGTTTGTGAAAAAAAAATGGTATTTTCCTAAGCTCCTAGTCAAGAAAATCTTTATGCTGTTAGTAGCAACTGTTTTTTGAAGATGCTAAAGAAAGGTACGCCAAACTTCATCGACAATTTTCGAATTTCATCTAAAAATGTTGGTTCCTTTAGGATTTATAACGTTTAGAAGTTTTGTTACGTGTCCTAAAACTTACTCCAGAAGTTCAAACGTCATAAACCTAAACGAATCAATATTTTTAAATGAAATATGAAAGCTGTCGTTGAAATTCGACGTAGCTTTCTGTAGCTTCTTTCTTGAGCAGGAGCTCAGAAAAATACTAATTTTTTTCAAACTTCAACTGCAAAAAATCTTTTGATAGAAAAGCGGCATTTAGAGCCAATATCAACTTCCATCAACTTTCACGTGGATTCCGTACTCTAAAGATGAGTTCTAGCATACCGAAAAACTCTAGTTCCGTCACTAGTGTTAATTAAAATAGACTTTTCCCTATCGTTCATTTATATTTTTGTATACAATTGTTTATACAGTTTTTAATTCTATTAAATATCAACAACTATGATAAAGAAATGATACAACTTGTTTATACAAATAATTTTAAGTGTTTTTCTCTATATTTTTGTTGTTGCTATTTTATATCTTTTTGTAAAGGTATTAAGCAATAGGTGCTCATAAATCAAACACATTGAACCTCTTTTGGATCGAAATTTGTTGAACCTTTTGGTTAGGACTTGAAAGATGCTTTCGTTTTTCATTTCTTGACAGCTTTGACTGAGAGCTGTTTACTATCTTGGGCAAAGTAATACATGGCAAACTTCTCGAAAAATCTCCTACTGGAGAAAAATCATCCTATATAGTTCCTATATTTTTATTGAAATCCTATAAAAATTTCACTTTTACAATCCTATATTTTCCTATATATCCGGAGAAGACCGCTACGAAGCCTGTGTATAACAGATGTTATTAAATCATTATTAATACCATTAAATGATGATTTTTGTGTTGCTTCATTATGTATAGAACCATTTGGATTACGTATTAAACGTATTCGTCGTCTTAAAACATCTTCCCATGGATCTAATTTCCAAAATGATCTTGAACTATTTGAATAAGCTATTTTATCATTAATCATCATAGCTAAAAAAATTTTTCGTGTAAACGTGATGCTATAATTTGATGTCGTTGATATGCTGCTATTATAAAATGTTCACATAGTTATTCTTTAGATTTACGTTCAACAGTTGTTTGTACTGATAATTGTTCAAATTCACTTGCTTTACGTATATCATCAGCACACATACGATTAAGTATAAAATCAGCCTCATTAGCTACTTTAACAATACAATTTTTACTTGCATCGGATAATAAACGTTCTTCAATTAACTAATTCAATAAAAGCTAAACCAGCATGTATCTAAAATAGAATAAAAGTTGTCTCTAAAAAGATTTCAATGATATTTTGTCTATAGAATACGATTTAGTGTTCGAATTTATGAGCAATCAAAAAGTTTCTTAGACAAAATATTAAAAGACAATGACATCTTAAGAAATTTCCTCGTAAGAAAAAGTTTAAATGTTACTTGAAGAGAATTTTGCCATTCTTGTGAATATAATAGCATAAACAAGTTCAACAATTGATATTGTTTGTTTAAGAGCATGTAAACCACTAGATAATAATTCTTGTCTATGTGAATCAACTAATATTTTTGTAAGAATATGTAAAAGTTCTGTAAATATATCTCGTAAAAATGGTGCTATATTAGATAATGCTCGTTCGAATTTTTCTGTTATATTCATTGCTGCTGATAATGATTCATTTGAATTAAAATTTGCTTTTGGATAATAAGAAAGTTTTGATTCAGGTAATTGACTTTTATTTATTATTGTTGAATCACCAATAGGAATATTGGCAATACTTGCTAAAAAAAGAACTGAAGCAATAATGAATGGTATAGTTAGTCTCTACGTCATATCAATTATAAATTTCTACATACCATATTGAGTAACAGTAGCACTTCTATTATTCATATCGATTGTGAATTTATTTTATTAACTTCATCATTATCAACAATAACTGCTGATTCACCATTATAGTTCTACAAAATCACAAAAAGAATTAATTTAACAAAATTTATACTTGATTATTTGTAATCGATATCGAATCATTTATACTAGCTGTATCTATATTACTCTCACTAGTCGAACCTAACAATCAAAAAGAAAAAAAAAAGAAAAAGAGTTTCTAACAAAGAATAACAATCTAACTATTCATACCATGTCGAATACTTTGGTGTTGTACTTATAATTGATGGTTGTCTAGATAAAATAGCACTTAAACGTTGAACATCAAGTTCTTGTAAAACAGATTCAGGATTTTTAATAAATGATGCAATTAATGTTGATATATGATCATTTTCATTTATATTCGTTAAATATGTTAATTCAAGTATAGTTTCAAGTGAATCTTTATTTGATGTTTTTTGTGTAAATGTTGAATTTAATATTTTTCGATAGATCAAATTTTTGAAAACGACATTCCATACAATGACGCACAGCAGTTGTCATTGTTAAACAACAAAACAAAAAATTGTTTTAAATATAAATAATCATTAAAAGAATTTCATATATAAACGAAGACATTGTCGTAATATTCCACCATTCGGCATACTTTTTTTCTTGCTCAAATTCAGAAAAATTTCCATTATTTCCAAGTATAAATAGATCCGATAAAGTCATAACATGTTTGAAAATTTTTAATGCATCTTTAGATGATAAACCTTTCGTATTTTCTAATAATTCAATTTCATGCTAAAGAGAAAAGTAACATAATTATAAAATAAATATAATAAATATTCATACATACAGATGCTGATGTTGCACTTGCAAGTAAAGGATAATAGACTACCACATACATTACATAATACATCTGCCATTTGAGATATAATATGTACAACATTAGCACAAAACATTTGATTATCTTACATCATTCAACAACAAAAAAACTTTTACTTCAAAATATAATTGCTGTAATTTTACTTTAGTTCTTCAATGAATATCATAGTAACAGAAAAACTAATTTTCGAATTTCAACTTGAATTTATGCATAGATACAGGTCTTAATGGAAATAGTTTTTTGTGCGATTTTAAATACATACTTTTTCAAGATGATATCCAATAGCGAGAAAACCTTTTGATATTGTATTGTATATGATCGTTCAATTAATTCACATAAAGTTGATATTAATATTGAACAAACATTATAATTAATTGAATCATCTATTTGTTGATGATCTAATTGTCTATCTTTCACGAGATCAAATTTGACAAATCATATGCAGTAAGCAATACAACTTTTGGAAGGTGTATCTAATGGAATGAATAAATACTTGAAATTAGACATTTGAAAGTATTCTGTTTCGAATACTACGAATATGCAGGCATTTGATATTCATTGGCATGAATATTTTTATTGAACAATTGGTAAATACTATAATAATTTATCTTTGATTCTGACAGATTTCGGAGATTCAGGATTTCTGGTTTAGGAAGCATCAAAGCGTAGTCTGCACAAAACTCAAGCCTATCTAATAATTATTGTAATTCATTAAGATTCATCTTCATCTTAACAGAGCAACTATCTACTTTTCAACTGACCTTTTTAGAATTCGTGTTCGATGAATACTACACATTTGAGAAATAATACGACAATTTTTCAACAAAATTATTTCACTCAACATTCGTCGATTTCGGATTGGATAACTGCGTGATTTATCCAAGAGAAAGTCCTTTAATTTCAACTTCACAATTTGATTCGAAAGTAAGAATGGTAAGGAAATCTACAGTTACATATAATAAATATTCTTTCAATTCTTTACTTGTAGTCGTGGATAAAATACTGGGTTTTTAAACTGGTTTACTAACGATCTTTGAAAGTTCTTTTGTTGTCTATCTAAATGAACAAATAAGATCAAATATTTCCTTCTTTTCATCAGTTGTTAATCTTCTAGTTTAAATTTATTGAAAAGAAAAAAAAATCTAAGTTCATCTTTTATATTCTTGTCATCAACAATTTTTAATTTTGCTTGGTGTACAAGAAAAATTAAACACTGATTTGTTGAACTTCATTTATCAGGACAGTTGTTTTCTCTTGGACGCTCTCAGCCCATTGAGCTTTCGTTTTGAAGCCTTCCATAAGTTCTTGTGTAATGTCCGTCAAGAATTGCTGATGTTTCATCACCTTTAGTAATAAATTTGAACTGGAATTCTAAAGCGAAAGAAAAAGAATTTATTTAAATGGAATGACAAAAAATTATCTAGTTGAATTTTTAAAGAATACCAAAACTGTGTCAATAGTTTCGACTGCCATGGAAAGAATGACGAAAGTTTACGTACACACAGAATGACCAGTAGAATAAAAATGAAGTGGAAATATTTTTTTCTATTCAATGACGAGAAAGAAGAAAAAGATTCATCCGGCTAATACGATCAGTCAGAAATAAAGTGTATATTTCTTTTTCTATCTACTCATGACCATTGGCTATTTAGAAACAATGTGATAGAGACGCTTTTGTTTATAGACACAAAGAACAACCGTCTAATTCTCTTTGATAACTTCTCGAATCAAATAAAAAAAATTATATTTCGAAGAACTAAGAAAAAATATAAATATCAATGGATCCTCATCGAACTGAAGCATATTTTCAGATTCAACGGAGTTTTCTTATTTAAATAGATAGCAGTAATAACAATCAACTTACTAGTTGAGTTCGAGCACTTGCTTGTTGACCTTGAGATGGAATGATTCGACTATTATTGTTATTTGGTCGTTGATAATGACCAGCTTTTGCGCAGCCAACTCTGAAAAACGAATGGTACTATTAAGTTAATCAATTTAACAATATAGAATAATTTAGTTACACTTGCGATTGATGCTCGCAAACGACACCACAGTAACATGGATACATTTTAATGAGAAGATACTTGGATCAGTTGATTAAACAAATATCTAAAATAAAAAAATAAAATACACATGTCTCTTATCAACTAAGTATAAGTGATACTATGTGTTCGAACAAAGTATTTAAACCTCAAATCTATTTAAAGAATATCGATTGATAGATTATCGAAAGTATATAATATGTTTTCAGATAAAATATTTCTCCATTTTCAACTCACTAGAAAGTACTAGACGGGTCGAAAACTTTCCATCATGGTTTGAATTCTATATTCTGTTAGATTCTAATGCTCCAACGATCACAAGATAATTCATTTTTTTTATTTTCTCCTTTGTTGACAAAAAAAAACCTTGGACATTACAAGCGTGTGATCGCAATATCGATTAAATAGATAAAATGAACTGGTACAAACCTAAATACACGTGTAAATATAGTGAAGAGAAGAAAAGAGAAAGGCTAAGAGATATTTGCGTAACCCAGCAAGATAGACTATACTAGACATAGAGAGATAAAGAAAAAAAATAAAATAACTTGGATAAGACGAAATAGCATATATATGTATAGAGAAAGAAGGAAAAAACTACCGTAGAATAAAAAAAGAATAAAGTATCACGCACTAACAGAATCAATAAACGAATGGTCAACCACGTGACATATATAACAAGCCAAGTGACCAATAGATAATATGTTTGTTCGAAATATGAAATCGAAATTTTGATTTCTATTCCTATTTTCGAGTAGATAGAAAATATTAATTAGATTCAAATATTGGTTAGGATTTGAAAAGCGAAAAAAAAATTCTTTCTCAAGTTTATTAGTTATTTTTCTCATGACTTCGAATTATTGAAATAGAAATTATTCAAGATCGGCCACTTCTATGGTGAATGTGCTATTGAAATAAACTACAGCCTTTTGCTAATCGAAGCTAGACAAATTTTGTCAAAAGTTTATTTCTGCCTAAAATGTCTTGGAATGATAAATAGAATATTTTCATCAATAAGAACCGATAATATACGATAATTGAAGTGCTTTTTCGATAAAAAAAGACAAATGAAATAGGAAATCTTGCTAACTAGATTTTCTCCTACAAGCTGTTATATTGATCAAATTTGAAGAGTTCAGTTTTAGGTATCATTAATGGCAATACAATAGTACACAGAGAAAAATATTTCTCCAAATTAATTTTGTAGATTTTTCAAAGATTAATTCATTTCTTTTGTGTAAGAGACGTGAAATTGTGGAGTCTCTGTGTTGACATAAAACAAAGCTGTAATTGTACTCTATGGGTTTTGATTCATCTAAAATACTTTCAGATGTGACAACCATGAATAAAGATTTTCTCTTAAAACTTTCAGATCACTGATTACTCTTATGTGAAGAATATGTTCAAATCGAAGACACACAATGAATTCGTATCTATTCACAAGTTAGATCGGTTTCTTTATTTGATAGTCTCAAGACTTGTTCAAAAAGGATATCAGGTTCTCTTTTTCTTCTTCATTATCGATTGAAAGGCAAATAGTTAATATCTGAATTTGCACAATAAAATCAAACGATAGACCAAACGACAAAGATATTTGAAAAAGAAAAATATACTTTAATGAACGGTCTAAGTCGCCAGATTTAAGATGATATGCTTTAAGTGATATCGAGAACACTAAGATATTAAAAATGAAATACATAAACATTAGCTTGCGTAGAATTTTCTTGTCAAAATATGCCACATATTAAACAATATAAGATTTATCATAAGTATATTACGAATAAATAAATGAAATCAAATCTTCTTTTATATTGAATTAAGAATTAATGAATGCTATTTTATGATCGAAATTTGCATCCTGAAAAAGAATTTCTGTTGCAAACCATAGCAGTACGAAGAATAGTTTTTATTCATTATGTAAAATCCATTACACTGGATCTCTTTCTATCTGCGGAGATCGCTCATATTTGTTTTGACCTATGTGTAGAACATCTATGTACAACATTTTAGTTCAATTTTCGAGCACCTTTGAGTTATTGAAGAAGATCAGAAGTAGTCAACCAGGATGAGTATGTCATACTCTTTTTAGATATATGTTCAGATTCTATTTTGGCTTAGATTAGCTCGTCAAGGACAATCTCTGAAGCAGTCTAAACGGCGTTTGTACAGAATTTTAAATAAACATTTCGGACTTCAGATGATTATTGTCTTTTTAATACATTCAAAAAACCACACGACATCACTTAAAATAGGTTTTGTCTCTCTTCGTTCTTCATATTCTTGACTTATATGAGATGTATCTCTTTTGCAAAGACGAAATAAGATGATTGAATGTTCTCAGAGGACTCTAACAATTTTTTAAAGACAAAACTAATTAGATCTATTTTCTACTACTTATATATAAGTGGATTAATTATACATTGAAAACTAAAACAAATTTAATATAAAAACAAACAAAGAAAATGTTTATTTTTGTGATGATGTATAAATTGAATAATATAGTTGTGCTCGTTCTAAAATTCGTTTAGTTGAACGGCGAGATCTGGACGAAGAAGAAGCTGATGAAAACAAAATTTATGTAGATCTTCTTTATTCAGACGAAAGAGAATTTTTTGACGATTATTCTTGAAGAATCGATATACAAACAAAAATTGTAAAGAGTGATCGATTGTTTGTTGTTAATGAAGATATTGAATTAATCCAAACAAGTTCAAGTACACGAAGAACATCATCAAATCGATGAAATTCTCTTTTACAATCAAGTAATAACCAACGATAAACAAATAAACAATTTTCTTCTTTTTCTACGCTTAAATTATTTTTATTCCAAAGTTCATTAGCAATTGAACGAAATATTAAAGAAAATTCTCTTTATGAATTAGAGCGTTCTAGCGTCTTGTTTTTCTCGAAGACGCTAGGACGCTGCTCACTATAGAGAGATATTTGCATTATCATTAAAGAAAATTTGTTTTTCTT